ATTAGATCTAAACATTTATTTTTCTTAAGAGTATTGAGGTTTCAGTTTGTGGTCAGGCACACTAAAAGGTTAACCTATTCACCTGTTTCCCACTCTAGGTTCTTACTAATTACTTATTAATTAATTAGGTCTGTGGTGGACCCTATGATATGAAATGGTGAATTAACATTTCTGTTTTTGACTGAGGGAGTTATTTTAATCCAAAATATATTTCCATAGGAACAGCATTTAAAATGTGTATACTACTTGAATAGACACTGGCTGAAGGGTGCTGGAGAAGGCAAAGTATAGTCAGCTGGCAGAAGGGCACCTTATTCAGGACTTGAAGTACTAGAAGTGATCCATCCGTATGTTCAAATGTGAAAGATAGTAATACTTTGTTTCAATTTTGTAGTCTTGAGTGTGCAGAAGACTTTGTAAGTAATACTGATGTAACTTTGCTAGACAATGAGATTTAATAATAGAGACACACGTATTTTTTCTGTAATTATTGCCACTCGATTGTGGTGGGATTATGAATTCCCTGTAAACAAAGTATGTGGTAATTTGGACCCAAAAGACTTAAGATCCCTTCTTAGGAAGGCAGTTAAATCAGAAAGCTTTAATAAAAAGAACTGTTAAAATCTCTTTAAAGTATTTTTAATGCCAAGAGAAGAACAAATAGGGATTATTTTTCTTACTCTCTTTCTTCTTTTTTCTCTTTGTTTGGAAAGAAAATGTAGTTACCCATAATGTCACAAAGCTACCTTTGCCCATAGTTTAAGTAGCTAAAATCAAATAATGCATAGCTCAATTCACAGTCTCCCAAACCCTTGAGTCCAGATGTGTTATAGAACTAAGATTTTAATGTCAGCTAAATGAACTGGGGATGTGGCTCAGTGGTAGCATGCTTGCCTAGCATGGGCAAAGCCCTGGGTTTCGTCCCCAGCACCACTCACACAAAAAGCTAATACTGTGCATGAACAGTTTACTGTCTAACATGCACAGTTTTTGTGTAGCAAAAACTATTCAAAACATTTGAATAGTTTCACTGTGTTGCATAAATAAAGACTAAGTCAGATTTTGCTGCCAGATGAGTGTTGTGCCAAACTTGGAAAAACAAATGAAAACAAACTTGTGAATCAGGGTTGAAGACCTTCATTTTGTAATCTACTTTAAGTTAGCATTTAATGATATTGGTATTTCACATATAGCAGTTATATCAAATATAATTGTTACTTGATGATTTACGTTTTGTGTTATTATACCTGAGCTTATTACTCCCCTAATGCTAAATGGAAAAATGAGAAAATGTCTGTGTGTGTGTGTGTGTGTGTGTTGCTGGAGGTCAAACCCAAGGCCTTGCACATGTGAGGCAAACCCTTTACCACTGAGCTACATCCCTAGCCCTTGGTTTTTCCAACAGGACCTCCCAATATAGTCCAGGTTTGCCTCAAACTCTAGGTCCTCCTGCCTTCTTCCAAGTACTGGGTTTACAGGCATGCACCATCACACCCAGTTTGGTGTACATCATTTTGTTTATGTTAAGTAACTTCTTCAGAGGGGATCAAAGGTCACTAAAAGTTTTATGGAGCATGTTATTCCTAACTCTAAAAAGGTTTATGTAAGCCAGGCACTGGTGGCTCATGCCTGTAATCCTCACTACTCAGGAGGCAGAGATCAGGAGGATCGAGGTTCAAAGCCAGCCTAGGCAAATAGTTCACAAGACCCTATCTCAACCCTTTACAAAAATGGGTTGGCAGAATGGCTCAAGTGGTAGAGTGCCTGCCTAGCAAACATGAGACCCTGAGTTCAAACCCCAGTACTACCAAAATAAATAAGTAAAAGGTTTGTATATATTTGTAAGGTTGTTAGAATAATGTATCAGGTTTCTCTGTACCCTCAAAACCAGTGGGTTTGGTGTAAGCATTTGCTTTTAAAAGAGGGAAGGGTTGCTGCATCAAATAACGTTAATGTGTTCATATTAAGGTTTCATTTATCTGACTATCAATTAGATAAACAGTGCTAACCAAGATACATTTTTGTGTAGTTGATTTGTCATTGTTGATTTGGATGTGGGGTTCATTTTCTTTTAAGCAGCGCTCCATTTTTCTGGGGTTCCTAAAATGCTAAGCGTCAATCACCATAATGTAAAGCCTCTTCAAGTTTGTACCTTTTTTTGATTGTAGAAGCATTTGTAGAATGCTCTTACATGATCTTGGCTTAGTTTATCTTCACCGTTGAATAGTAAATTCAGTGTTTCATCTAGGGGTTGAGGAACTGGTAGAGCACTTGGGGCAGCAGGTAGCAGGCATCTTAAAATGTTTAACTTCATGGAAAGTTAAGAGGATCTCAAGTTCGTGGCCAGCCTAACTGTTTAGAGTATTAATGAGTACTTAAATTATTATAAACATTAGAATTTATTTATAATTACCTCAGTAGAAAAATTGGGGTGCAGACTTGTCTATTATTTTAGCTATGTTTGTTAAATATACAAAAAATGGTTAGAAAGAAATATCTTAGATGTAACTGTGGTTATCTGAGTGATGGGGTAAATAGTTACTGTTTATTTCCTTCTTAACTCCTCCAAATGTCTGATTTCATTTTGAATGTATAACACATCTATAATTAAATAGTGATGTTGTTATTGAAAGACAAAAGTCCAGATTTCCTTTGGGCCTGTGTTGTTAGGTCCATGTTGTTATCTATATAAAAATGAAAGTATCATTTTTAAATATTTTTTCCAGTGCTGGGGCTTGAATCCAAGGCTTGTGCATGCTAGGCAAAGTGTTCTACCACTGAGCTATACATCCCGGCCCTCATAAGTGTTTGACCACCAAATAATCTGTTATCACTAAATCCACTAAATTTTTTTTCTTCTCCTTTCTCTGAAAAAAAAAAAATCATCTTTAGATACTGCAAATACTGTACCAATCTTCCAAACCTAGAGAAAAGGAGTATCCATTACTGCCATTTATAATCCTGAGGAAATCACAAGCATTCCGATACTCCACTCCCCATCCTCCATTAAGGCAGCAAAAGACCCTTTGCACAGGGTCTTTGAACTGGAAACTCTTCATTGTGACACTAGATTCTATTGCCACTTATCACTGTGTTGACACGCACGGTTGATGGCACAGAGTAGCAGTGGGTAAAACAGTCCAGTGGGCTAAAATGCTGGTGCCTGCACACATATCAGTGTGTTGGCTGCAAACTATACTGGCTGTGTTCTTTGCCACCATGATTTGTGATTCAGAAGTCCAGAAACACACAAAAAGCAAATCCGGGTAACAGCGAAATTATTAAATCTTCACCGATGAGTACTCATTTCTCTGGTCCTCTCTGCTAGAACAGGGCTACAGCCACTTCCAAAGCAGGACGACTGTCTCCAGGGGTGATGGGGGTGATGGTGCCTTAGGAGCTACATTAGCCATGTTTTTCATAGAGTGCTTTCACCTGAAGAATGAGCACTTGGCAGATATTTTTCAGAAAAGGAAAGGTTAGCCTGTCATTTCAAGGAAAGTGAGAGGTTTTGTTGCTAGTGAAAATTTGACCTTTTAAGTGAAAATTAGAATTTGGGAGAACTTGTATCTGCCTGCTACTGTGAGCTGAGCAGCTTTATAGACTTCTGATAAGATTGAAGTGATATTAACAAATACAATTTTTAAATATATAATAAAATACGTCAGCATTTGGAAGATCTGCATATCTTAGTGAGCCACTAGTTCCAGATAACCAATGTCTGATGTTACAGAATTATGGACAGGTGAAAGCCATTCAGAGTATAAGATGAACAAATGAATTTTAATATAACAGAGTTCATTGGAAGTGTTTCCAGTTCCACAGGGAACTAACCATTAGAAAGCTACTACTTATCAAAATTTGGTTTAGTAGCAAAGAATATTTATATAATTATCTGAAAATGTTATTAAAATACTCATCCTTTTCCAATTTTTGTCTAAGGCCAGAAGTTTCTTCATTTATTTCAACCAAAATAAGCTTTCATAGCAGTTCAAACACAGAAGCAGGTGAGAGTCTCGCTGTCAAAGTTTCTCAGTTGCTATAACCACATAAACAAAAACTTTTGAGGAGTCTCAAGAATCATAAGACACATAAAGGGATCTTAAGACCAAGAAGTCTGAGAACTGCTGCCTTAAAGTCTTGTGACTCAGAGCATGGTTGCGGGCATCCCCTGAAGTACAGACACTGAAGCCCTACTGCAGACCTACTAAATGAGAACTTGAAGTCTAGGGCAGTCTCAAGTGGTTCTCCTGTGCACCCTAGAGGCATTGCCTTCCCTAACCATTGAAGCAGCATCAGGGCCATGGAACCAGAACCCAGAGCAAGGGCTGGGAGACTCACACGCAGAACAGGTTCCCCTCTTCTCGTGTCCTCTGGCTTTAGGATTGAATTCTCAGACCCTTTGGGTGTTTGAAATGGCACAGAGAGCTAATAGAAATCTGCGCTCAGAAAAAGACCCACTGGAGTCATGAAACCCATAGCACCACCCAGAACCTGGAGCACTGTGTTGTCTGTTCAGGCATGTCCTTATTCCTAAGAGTTGTTAGATGGTATTCTTACTCATCTTTGGGTTGTTCATGTCACTGAAGATAATTACCACTGCTGTAAACTTTTAGAAAATGTACACAAAAAGTATCTCACTTAAATTTTAGCTATAGACTTATGCTTATCTCAAACACAGTTTTTACCTCTTAACTACATCTTTCCTCTGGATATGTAGTTCTATGAAAAAGGATGTGTGTAATTCCATCTTAATAGATGATCATCGGGGTATTGCTGATGCAGCGCATTTGTAACAGTAACCAGCCTTGGTAGGTTTAGCACTTTGGCAGAGCAGACTTTCTATACATTTTTAGAAGGGTTTGCTGTTCAGCCTTAATTGGTGACTAAACGAAGTACGTTTGGATTAATTGTACAACCAGACTGTATAACATAAATTGTTGTAACAAGATCTTCCGTTTCTAAACTCTCACCACTATTTATTTTCTTCTTGTTTTTAGGGTGAATCTGTAAAATATTTCCTGGACAACTTGGATAAACTTGGAGAACCAGTAAGTTTTAAAACAAAATGTTTATGATTATTGACATTTGAAGGCAGTAGTCAGGATATCAGTGTTTTTATTTTGAGGTACCTTGTTAGGATATTTAGAAAAATTATGTATTAAACTATTTGCTTTTTCCTTTTTTCATAGTGACAGTAGTCTGACTCACCCTGCTTTATTTTAAAATTGATTAATAGCTAATGATAATGAATGATTTGTATATTTTTTTTAATGGAAAAAGGAAAGCAGTTAATGACTTTTTCCTCTGTCATCTAGGTCTCTGCCCACTTCCTTGAAGAATTGCCCTGATCACTATTTCACGGATGTTAAAGCTATTTAGAGAGGGAGATTTATGTTTGAAAATGAGAGTGCACATTCTTTATTATCATCAGTGTTGTTGGGGATTTTGTAATTCCCAACAGAAATAGAAATAGAACATAGATTCAATTCCAAACCTTTCAGCAAATGCCATTTTCTAGTTTAGGACTCCACCATGTCGAGGCTTGTTTCTGGAGGCCTGCTGAAGAGCCTCTGTGAGGTAGGAGAAGGAGTTGCCCTTGGAAAGTCTGTTATCTTTCCTCAGTGCTTTCCTCAGCCAGTGACTCAGCTGATGCTGGGGCAGATCTGGCTCCCCCATGCCCAGGGCAGGCAGAGTGTGCCACTGTCTTTTCTCCATTATTGGACAAAGGCTGAAGAGTTGATGGGAATTAAAACTTCTACTGCTTAGAAAATGTTTGAAAACCATTGCCCTAGAGGCATTTGTTACTCACTAACTAGATTTAGTGTAAGTTCATTTGTTGCCTCTTTAAGCAGAGTTCTGTTACAAATGTGAATACAGTCTTGAGGTTTTTAACTTTTAAAATATAACTGAAGAAAAGCACAGAATTAGCCTGCTCCAAGTAGAAAGTCTGAGACTGATGTATTTAAGACATGGGAACAGTACCTTCTTTTTTCCTTAGTAGGTTAGTTTTTGCATTTTTCCTGTGTTTTTCTAAGCTGTGTCTGTCTGCCTTTAGTCTAGTATGGTTTTCTCCTGCCTGTTTCCTAGTCACAGTATCGTCCAGAACTTCAACTCCATAATTTATCTGTTTTTACTCATTCAGTCCACATCAGTGAAACTTTGTTTTAAGGTCTTTTTTATTATCACTTTTCTGTCAGGTCAGATTGTAAAACTGGATAAAAAGGTAAGTGTAGGCCAATTGGAGAAAAGCCTTAGTAGACAAAATAATTTCATTTATTTATTTATTTGCAGTATTGGGGTTTGAACTTGTGCTTGCCAGGCAGGCATTCTACCACTTGAGCCACTCCACCAGCCCAGTTAAACTAGTTTTTAAAGAGTTATTTCTTGTCCAAACACTGCTCCCTTGAACCAGCTTTTCTCAATTTACCTTTTCAGATAGGTCTTCCTTGAGCACACCATTCAAGTAGTCCCCTTCCTCTTCATTCTCAGTAGAGCCCTCACCTCTTTCCTTCATTGCACATATTACCATTGATAATTACTTTGTCTTTTACCCATCTGTTTTCATAAGGGCCATGACCTCATGTCTTGATCGTGAAGAGTTGAGTTCCTGGTGCCCAATGACAATGCTTGACATGAAGTAGGGACTCAACAAATAGCTTTTGAATGTGTATTCTATGCCAACTCCAGCTGTCTTGTAGTAGCTGTTTAATCTTATGCTGAGGGTGCCAGATTTCTGTTTTTAGATAGGAAATTTAAAAAAATCTTACAATGCAGACAGTTGGGAGCCAGATGTAGAATAAAAGGAAAAGAGTTATGTGATCAGCATGTAGTTGTAAAGGAAGACTAAAATTGGATGTGCTTCATTTTTGTCATCCTTTTTGTGTATATTGGACAAGTCACAAGATTGCATTTGCTCCCCTATCTTAACTGAAGTGCCAGAGCCATGCTGTGTGCTGAGCCCTGTCACAATCTGGGAGGTGGAACAGCAGGGCCTAGGATATGGGCTCTACAGCCAGACTGCCTGGGTTCCCATCGGAGCTCTAACACCGAGTGGCTCTGTGTGACCCCAAGCATCTCTAAGTTGAGGTTTTTCATTCATAACATCGGCAGAGCCCTGCTCATAAGATTGTAGGACATTGCATGAAATCAACCCTGAAGGTGTAGTAATGCAGTAAATGCCCAGTGTTAGCTGCTTTGCTCTTCCATCCCTACATTTAAGTAGCTCAGTTTAGTCAGACAGAATTAACATACATAAAACAACTAGAAGACAATGAAATGATATTGATCATTAAGATATTAGTTCATGGACTGAAGAGAGATGAAAGTCTTGGCTGGAAAAAAAAATGAACTGCCTAAAGGATGGCTTGGATTTAGATATATTAGGAGAGGTGGCACACCGAGGTGGGAGACAACTGGGTGTGTCTAGTTTTAGGAGGCACATCTGTCTAAGTGGAGAATATATGAGGTCTCAGCTCTAACTTGTGAAAAACATCTCTAGAAGCTAGTGGCTTGAGATTTTGTCCGCTGCATTGCACTTGTACTGCTGTGCAGACAGATGAACACATAACAAAGGTGCATGAAGTCCTGTTCGGGACTTGATGCTAGGCATTGTGGGGAGCTTGAACAGTGCAGACCAGAGCCGGTTGATTATAGAAAGCAAGATGTAAGGAGGGCCCTGAAAGCTAGTCAGCAGAGTTTAGATCTGATGCATGGAAAAACCCTACCCTAAGTTCTGGAGTCGTGTCAGAAAGGTTGGTCTGAAAGAGGGTTAGAGAGTGGGCTAGAGCTGGAGTCAAGGGATGTGTGACACTCAAGGGAAAGAAACTAATCATGACAGTTTATGCCTGAGATGATAGAAAATGGAACAGTAGGAATAAAGAGGAAAGGGAGCATGTAGCAGATTCAAAGAAGGAAGGACAGGATTTGGTACAAAGTAGATGGGAAGGAATGGTCCAAGTTGACAGAGACACTTAACAGAAGCTGGGATTGTTGGAGGGGCAAGAAGTACAAAGGAAAATGTTCTAGTGGGACTTAGAGACTTGGTCAGGAGAAGAACTGAGGCCCTTATTGGATATGTGTGTTTGTGAGTAGATGTTCAAGTGCAAATGACTGGTGAGTACCTACAATTGAGAGCCTGGAGTGGAAGGCTACCTGGGGATCCAACTTTCTCGATTCCCTCTTCAGTGGCCAGGGTGGTAGTATGGTGGACATGGTAGTAGTAACAGCTGGCACAGACCACATACCAAACCTCATTTTTAAGCATTGCACATTTAACTCAGTCCTCAGGGTGACCCTCCAAATAGCATCCCTGTTTTATAAACAAGGGAATTGAGACACAGAGAGGTTAAATGACTTGCCTGATGTCACACAGCAAGTATGTGGCAAGCTGGCTTCAGATTCACATTCCTAATCAATATACTCTATTCTGTCAGACATTTAGCACTTAGAGAACATTCTCCTCTATTCTGTGCTGCATGTGAATTACACCTCAGTTTCCTAACTTGATTTTTAGTAAAAAGACAATAATGGAGAACTTTTCATTTTTACAGAATTAGATAATTTTCAAAAAGCTTGATGCTGAAGTAGGTTCTCACAGACACACACTAAATTGTTACCACCTCTGGAAAGTAGTTGGCCTTAAAGGTCCAGGGTCATTAAAAAGTTTGCACACTTGACTTCATAATCCTGCTCCTGGTTATTTTCATCTCTGGAAATAGCCCAAATGAGAAAAGAATTATGTGTGTGAGAATTTTAATTGCAGTATTTCTTTTTTTTTTTTTTTTTTTTTTTTTGGTGGTACTAGGACTTGAACTCAGGGCCATCATACTTGCTAAGCAGGTGCTTTAACACTTGAGCTACTCCAGCCCTTAATTGCAGTATTTCCGTTAGAGTAAAAAACTAAAAATAACCTAAATGACCATGAATAGGGGAATACCAATGCAAATTATGGTACATTAAAACTTTTGATGTATTTTATAGTCTTAAAATGAGATGATAAGGCTGTGGGCATGGCTCAAGTGTTAGAGTGCCTGCCTGGTAAGCTTGAGGCTCCAAGTTCAAAACCCAGTACCACCAAAAAAAAGAAAAAATATGACAGGATCAGCATCAGTTCATGATTAAATGGAAAGCAAAGTAATGTACTTACGCTGAAAATTATGTGCATATACTAATCAGCAGTAAAGTAAGTATGTGTATGTAGAAGAAAACCTGGGAAATTCATATTTTCATTGGTATCCTAACAGTTATTTAATGAATGGCCATGGATTGCCAGTAACTAAAACCTGCCCAACATGCTAGGGTGGTGTTGCACACCTGTCATCCCAGCACTGGGGAGGCTGAGGCAGGAGGATAGTAAGTTCAAGCCAGCCTGAGCTAGATAGCAAGACTGTCTCAAAATGAAAAGAAAACAAAGAAAGGGGTTGGGGGTGGGGGAAAAGGAAGAAATCATTTTGTTTGCTTGTAATTTGCTAGACCAATTATTATATTAGCCCATTAAAAATTCCAATAATTACTTCTGGATAACTAAATTTAAAACTTCTTTTCTTTTCCAGGATTACATTCCATCACAACAAGATATTCTGCTTGCCAGAAGACCCACCAAAGGCATCCATGAGTACGACTTTGAAATTAAAAATGTTCCTTTCAAAATGGTTGATGTAGGTGGTCAGAGATCAGAAAGGAAACGTTGGTTTGAATGCTTCGACAGTGTGACGTCAATACTTTTCCTTGTTTCCTCAAGTGAATTTGACCAGGTGCTTATGGAGGATCGACTGACCAATCGCCTTACAGAATCTCTGAACATTTTTGAGACAATCGTCAATAACCGGGTTTTCAGCAACGTCTCTATAATACTCTTCTTAAACAAGACAGACTTGCTTGAGGAGAAGGTGCAAATTGTGAGCATCAAAGACTATTTCCTAGAATTTGAAGGGGATCCACACTGCTTAAGAGACGTCCAAAAATTCCTGGTGGAGTGTTTCCGGAACAAGCGCCGGGACCAGCAGCAGAAGCCCTTGTACCACCACTTCACCACTGCTATCAACACGGAAAACATCCGCCTGGTTTTCCGTGACGTGAAGGATACTATTCTTCACGACAACCTCAAGCAGCTTATGCTACAGTGATGTACAGAAGACTTGCAATTTTAATACTCTTGTGTTTTTGATTGTTTTCTGTTTGTTTTGTTTTTTAAAATAGCAGTTTACAACAGGAATTAGAAAAAAATCTCAATTCTGTGTTTAACTTCTTGGAAATCTTAGTCCTTCTGCTGCCTTTTGTTTGTGGCTGAAAGCTGCCGCCTAACACATTGCCAATATCTGCTGGAATTTAGGCTTTGATCAGTTTCACCATGGCTTCCATTCCTGGTCAACTTCAGACTAGGTGTATTTCAGGATTTAAATTCTTGTACCTTTCAAACTGAATTCTGTAATGCCAAGTACAGACAGTATCCTTAAATACATGTAGGAATGAGGTTAGGAGTATTCAGCTCTAGAACAAGTAAGCGGTCTTCAGTCTGCCTCACACAGAGCAGTGACACGCACTGCCTAGCTCCAGGGGACCCCTATTCTGAAAGGGCTGCAGTCTGCAGATTATACAGATTTAGCCTTCATGTGTTTATAATTGCTTATATACATAGCAGTTGTTTTCTTTTTTATTTCTTTGTTTTCTGAAGGTAATATTCTTAGTGTTTTAAAGTTTACATAAGGATTTCTGGTCTGATGCAAATGAATTCAGAAATGGTACTGGGGAGCAAAAGACAAGCAAATGTTATATATTGTACTTTGATCAAAAGTAAAGATGAAATACGATTTGCCTTTTTCATATTTATCATGTCATTTGATGTGCCATATGCGAAACATTTTGGCCATAGTTGCAACTCAAAACTGCAAGCACCTTGGTAATAGAAATAAACACGTGTTCAGAATGTCACGTGTGTTGCTTTTCAGTCCTGTTAGTCCATTTTGCACCTGACTGGAGGAACCACTAGTGCATCTTCACCTTTCTTTTGCTCTCCTGTCCCAATCCCAGCAACTCCACACTGGCATTTAAGGGGTTGTTTATTTGGAGCTTGCCAAAGGGAATATTTTCCTGTCAGATTATTCGAGAAGGCATTGTTGAGATTCCTAGTCATTCTTGGTGTGTCTCTGGAGAAACAGTATGTACATGTTTGTACACTTCCTGTCTGTGAGATGCCAGCTTTATTGAGGTACATTTTAAATGTTTGAAGAATGCTTCTAAAGATAGATGGTAATTTTTGTGTTTGCAGACTTGACCTCCTCCTACTGCTTACCAAATTGAACCATGCCTGTGTGATTACAGATACATTCATAGTGACCTCAGTAGAGTAGCTGGCTTGCAGTACTAAAAGTGCCACCTTGTAGGTTAAATGAGTGTTAAAATTGAATTGGAGATACACTTGTTTAAGGCTGGTGACAATTTGCAAAGTGTGACAGCTTTTCTGCTTTTCCTGAAAATTGTGATTAAGACTGTGATATCTGTCACTTTACTGTGTAGCTGTGTTCTCAGGTATTCTAGTGGTCAATATTGGGGATCACCCAGCCTTTCCAAGACAGTAGCTCTTGCTCTGTCCTTCTGTGAGGTGTGGGGCTGGGCCTTTCATTGGGCTAACCAGGGATTGTTCTCAACTTACCTGATTTGTCTTGCGTTGAAGTTTTACTGTCATTAAATCCATGTAAATTCCAGTGTTTTCGTGCTTTGTAATACGTGAGCTTCAGACACCATCGTGCAGGTGTTCATAGTGTAATTCGTGCATGTCTGAATAGTTCCACATCTTGCCAAAAAGAATCCATTGTTTGAATTCGTGGAGTTAGCATAACTCCAGAACCAGTGAGTATCTGAATATGTGCACAGTGATATTTGGTTTGTTCCATGGAGAGTCTACATGTAAAATTAGCAAATAATTTTATTGAATGACCAAGACATTTAACTCCAGTGAAGGCTAAAATCAGTTCTCTATAGTTAGTTTTATTTATCTTTAAACTCTGTGATAGGAGCCAAAGGTATTACCTGACAACAGAAATCACCAAGTTTCCCCATTTTGACTACCACCAAGCAATGTTAAAACACCAACTCGATATGGCATCATTTTGGGCATTTGAAGTTTTCTCCTGATACGTGTGATATCTCAGAACAACATTCTTTTAAAAGAAGGATACATTTTGAGGCAGTAAATTACTTATATGTAAATTATATAGGCTTGTTTAGACCTTCAGTAGAACTAACTGCAAGACAACCAAAAGGCTTTGTCCACATGTTTTTCTGTGCTATAATTTTAAACCATTTGAAAGGAGTCAGATATCTTTCTACTTATATCATGAAAACCAGGTTCTTTTGATTTGAAATACCACTATGTGAACAGGGATGAAATTTAGTGAACAGAATTGAAAAGGTGCTCATAATTTTCACTATGCTAACTTCCACCCCAATCTCTAAAAGGTAAGTCAGATTTAAAATTCTTTGATGTGTTCGATTTTCCCTATTTTGGTTATGATTTGGAATAAAATGTGCCTAATTCTATATTCTTTCTGTCCTTAAACCTGAATGCCTTCTGATTTAGCTGAGAAAATACGAAGAACACAAATGTCTTCGTTGACCTTGAAGAAATTTATAGTATACAGAGTTGCCTTATAAATCAAAGAACAACACAAATTTAGACCTTAATTTTTATAGGGAAAGGGTTTTGTCAGATGTCTTCTAAAGATCTAAATAATTCAAGGCATGCTTCTGCCACTTAAATATTTTAAAAGCCTGAATTACTGCTTTCTGCCAAATATTGTATTACATTGAAACCTTCATTGCAATTTCATTATCTGGACAGGGTACTTGGTGGCCAGGGTGGAGGCACAGCCAAAGAAGTCAGTGTGGAACGAAGAGACCCATGTTTGCTTGCTTTTCTTTATGGGAGAAGGTCCTCCAGCCAATCTCTCTCAGGCTGGGGCTGCTTAGGGACATCCTTGTTCAGTTAGTGGCAGTGGTTGGTTTAAAATAGGAAGTAAGACCACGTTAATACCAGAAGTGATTAGAAGTATTGGGTTACATTCAACAGATACTGTATGCCCTGTAATTAAATCTTAAGTTTCAGTGTACACCCTGATACGGGTATACAGATATGCTTTCATTAGAATGTACTTTTTAGCATTAGTATACATATCTGGTTAGGCCGTATTTATATAAAGAATAAAGTTACCACATGCTGTTTTGTCCTAGAACTCAAATCACTATTTGAGAAGTCCTCTAATTGGTGCTTTCATTATTTAATGATACATTTAGACAAAACCCTGAACAAGCCATTTGAAGCAAGATTCTCTCCACTGCAATTTGTAGCAATGTTATTTCCGTGTATGTAATGAGAAGGCCAAATATCAGTGTTAACTCTTCATTTCTTGTTTGACCCCAGCCCATGCAATCATGCTTGTAAAGCCCATACAAACATTTGTTGTAACAAACTCCCTAATAAATCTAGAGAAAGTCACTCTGTTACCTTTTCATTTCTTTTAGTTTTATTTGGAAGATCAAGAACAAAAGAAATTTCGAATGTCTCTTCACTTGGAAATCTGACTTAGTACTGGTCCCTTTTTCTCTTTCCCATCGTGTCAGCATGTTAAATTCTACCAATTGCAGATAATGCGTTTTTGTGCTCCTTAACTAAAAGTACATTTTTTTTTTGTATATATGTGCTAGGATACAGATTGGCTTTCAGTCTAGTAAACATGGGGAGGGTAGAGATTGCACATGGGTGTGTGTATGTCTTCATGTTCCAAACACAGATGACCCAGTCCATACCTGTTTTATGGTACGACGTTAGGGCTCAATAAATTTAAACCACAGATTGAAGTGTGAGTCTAAATATGAACATTTTAAGCCATTTGTTGGCTTTTTCAAGCACTGTGAAGTAAATATTAGCCTTGGGCTGGTAGGTGATTATTGACACCATTTGAAAGTACAGTGTTTGTACCTCTAACATCTGATGTCTGTACACGGATATCTATACATAGTCAGCATTTAAATTATAAAATATGTTCACCCTTGGGGCATTCTGGTTTCAAATGCCAGGGCTTATGCAGAACATTGTTGGGTTTTTTGTTTTTTTGAGACAGGCACTTACTTTGTACCCCAGGCTGGCCATGAATTCACAATCCTGCCTCAGTCTCCCAAGTGCTGGGATTATAGGTGGGTACTACCATACCAGGGTGGAACTTTTTAAGCATTAATGATATGGCAGTATTTCTTGGGTTGATGAGATTCTTTGTGTCCTATACAAAACTGTTACCAGTGGTGGAAATTTACAGATGGACTGAAGTCTGCAGGACCCATGAACCATACATTTTCAATAAGTGACTATCACTCACAGTAATAAACTACTTGGTAGGTGTTTTGGGTTTGTATTTAGAAAGCTTGCCATAATAAGTGATGCATTTGTCCCCAGTCATGCCTGTTTGATGGTACCAGGAATAAAGGGAAGGGAGAAGAGATTCATTCTTGTTAAGTATAGGTAATAGTGCAACAAACCATGCCATTTGCGCTTTCTTTACCTCTTACTTGAAAGCAGAATCGCAAAATGTTTTAAATGGCTTTTCTTTACTACTCTACTAGGTGAGCTCATTTGCCACAAGAAGCCTTATCAAAAGTATATTTTGTAACAACCTCATACTGTACTCAAGGAAACCTGACTTGTATTAGCTCTGTATAAAAGTATTTGTGGCTTAGGGTTTTTTACCGTTATCTTTTTATATCTTCCAGAAACTAAGCACATTGTCTGATATTGTAAAATGTTTTGGTCAGTGCTTTAGTTCAGGATTGGCAATAAATTATTTCTAAAGGAGGTTTAAAAGTGGAAAGAATGGTTTGATTTTACAAAATGAGTTGCTAATTCATTAAAGCTTTTACTTTTGTACATATTTTGCAAACAAAAATGTTTCTTGCTCTTAATAATTTGCTTTGTAAAAATTACTGACATTTAATAAACATTTATAAATGACTCAATACGATGTTATTTACACTAACAGTGTAAAGCAATCAAATTTGAAGTTTGAAAGCATCAGTTTCATCTTAAGTAACTTCAGCAGATAAATCCATGTAGGCTTCTGAACAAAAAAAACCCTCTCTTTTAGGGCCTCAACTTTAACATGAAATTTACCTGTGGATCTCACCAAAAATCAAGATAGAAAATTTGGACTTTACATATGGTTCCATTAACATTGGTTAACCTACCAAAACAAATTGGTTTTGTATCTAAATATCTAAAAAGACATGATTAAGGTTTGTCTTTTAAGAACGTTCTGCAAGAGATTTAAGATCTTTGGAAATTGAAACTGAATTAAGTTGACTATTGGAAATCTCCCCAAACCAAAAAGTCTTTTTAAAGAAACCTTTTCTTATGTATTGTTGGAACAAGGAAATGCTCATTTTTTAAAAATTTTATCATTTTTACATGTACTTACATGTGTATACATTATTTGGGCCACCTCCTCTTCCTCCCCACCCCCATTCTTTTTTTTTTTTTTAAGCAGCTAATAAAACTATAGCAAAGCATTTTTGGCACAGTCGTGGTTAAAGGACAGTATGTTATGCCACGTTGCATGATACACTGCATGACCTGTCCCCTTACCCACAGTGTGGACTGCTGAAAGGACGAGAGGCCTTCAATCTTTTGGGAATGTAAGAAATTCAAGGTTTACAGGTTAAACCAGAAGCTTGTTTTGGTGGCTTGGGAAATTTGGCACATTCTCCAAAAACAACCTAGGACAGTGCTTTAAAAAATACATGCTGTAATTTTTCCTTGGAAATTCATGGGGCACCTTAAGCAATATTGCTGGAGAAAGCAGTGCCTGCAAAAGTGCCATGCAAGTGTATTTTGCAAGAGTTCCTTCCTCTTTGAAGTATGCCAAGGAAACAAAAGAGGGAGCAAGCTTTCAATGCAAAGTAGCTATTCAATGTGGCTGTTAGACTTATGTGCACCACAATACTGAGCAGGTTCTGTACAGAATGAGCTGCACTGAGCAGAGGGAGGAGTGGGTTGGTTTTCGTTTTTTTTTTTTTTTAATAGCTGGTAATTTAGGGCTGTGGGGGGGGGAGTGGTCCTCAATGGTAAAGTGCTTTTCTATAATGCCTAAGGCCCTGGGTTTCGACACAAAGTTGTTTGTTTTTTGTGTTTTTTTTTTAAAACAACTACACTTGATCTTTCCTGTGTCAATTGTGAAGAGAAGAGAGATCAAACAGTTCTGCTGAAACTTGCACTGTAGGCCTGAGCAGAGAAAGTCTGGCTGTGTCATTCTGCTTGTCTGTAAATCTGCACACAAAACCTCAGTTCTTGTAACCTTTGTGGGATTTAACTAATAGTTTGTGTTAATATAGCATAAGTTCACCAAAACGGTTTTCCTAGGACTGGGCGTGTGACGAGTGGTAGTGCCCTTGTCTAGCAAGTGCAGGTCCTGAGTTCCATCCCCAACAATCACAGGGCTGCGCATTTCACTGGGTGACAGAGTCCTTGCCTAGAATGCCTGAGGCCATGGGTTCAATCCCTGGCACCAAAAATAGTAAGTAAATTAAAACTTACTAGATTCAAGCTAATTTTCTATGGGCAATCCTTGTATTTGTAGCAGGGAAGATGCTAAAAACTGACATAAGAGGGGAACACATTCCAGATGAAGGGCTGAATACTGAATTTTGTGGGAGTGACAAGCATCAGTCTTACTCAGGCATAAGGGACAATGTTACCCTCTAGATGTGTAGACAATGTAACGTCCAGTCTCCCTGCCCAGCATCCAAGGCACCCAAGACCTAGTGTCAGCCTCATGTTCCAAGCTGAGAGCAGTGTAGTGCATACTGGAGGCTGGGAAGAACAGGAGAGATGGGGAAAAGTTGGTCAACGGTCCTGAGTTACAGCTAGAAATTCTGGTCAGGCGTGGTGGTGCACACATGTCATCTTAGAAGGCTGACGAGGGAAGATTGTAGGGAGGGAAAAAAGGAAAGGAAGAGCGGAAAGAAAAGGGTGAATTCAACTATGGATATTGTAAAAACTTTTTAAAACA